GTTATAGAATCGTTGCCAACGATTGGACTCAAATTTCCACCACTTTCTTGTTGAACCTCTCTGCACCGGTGTTGTAGCGTCCACATCTTGGGTGTTCATGTCAAGGATCACAGGAGAATCGTCATCACCTTCTAACTCACAAAGCACTTCAGTCCAGCACTCCAATGCCAGATCTGAACCCACTACGCATTTAAAGCCCGAATCGCTTTCAGCATAGCCCGAGAAGCGGTCATCGCGATCGCGAAGTTGTGTACGTTCAGTTGGATCAGTTAGGCGTCTCCTCTGGAAACGCTACCGGTACCAGCGCACTCATTTTCTCGGACTCGCTTTCGAACCAGCGCTAACTTCCTTGCCTTCTCTAGATCCATTCGGTTTCGCTTTGAAGTATGAATGAGCGCTAGCTCGCAAAAGTTGCGCTCGCATGTGGCTGTACTGACCACTATAGACAGGATTGCGAAAGCCAAGGTCGGCAGCTTGCTGCCTCTCCTTTCCGTACGAATACAGAGCCAATAACTGTGTATAGATGTAAAATATCTAAATGAGAGCATCGTATGATCTTCAGTAATAATCCACCAATGAGGGTCTTCATAAAGTCATGTAGTATCATCGCCAAGTTTGAAGCGTCTACAGTAGTAAACTCCAATTTGAGAAAGCGAGCTAACTGAAGTTAGAGGGGTGTTATCCAAGAGTTGTTTTCCGGCTTCCTTGTGGGCAGCATGCAACAATAGCGCCAAAAGCATCAGTGGTTGCACGCACTGCAACCAGCGCTTCTCCACTTCACGAATGAGATTTTGACTGGCGAGATAATGCTGTGAAAAGCCGGTAGATATGTCGAGATAGCAGCCAACAACGTCTGTCATCGTGTTTTCGTCCCTCTGCAACTTATAAGACGCAAATGGTAGTGGCCGGATGACTTCTTCGACGTCATCTAATGTGTCCCAAAACGAAGCTTGCCCAAAATACGAAGTTTGCTAGGAAAGTCGTCGTTGTTTCTAAATTTCAGCTCCAATAACTTCAGTGCACTACGAACACGGAGTAATGACGCGAAACATACGTGCATACTATTCCAGCGGGTCTCGCACAACTGCTGCAAACACAAATCATAGCCGTAAGTTTCTTGCATGCACACCTCAATCTCTCGCAACCACTTGGAGGAAGAAGTGTTAATAGTGTTCACGGCATCAGACGCTCTTTGGCAACGGTTGAGTACCCCGATTCCAAGACATTTTTCACCAGGTTGTTCAAGTCGTGGGCAAAACAAATTGAGAACGCGACCTGAGGCCATCGAAGACTCAGAATCCTTCGTGCCCGACCACATTGTCCAGCGTTGTCTGTAACCGAAGCTCCAATGTCCCAACCTTCTTCTTTCATCTCTTCATCACCTGCTCCATTTGCTGAGCGATGGCTACTCCATCATGACGTGAGCCAGCTTTGAAGAGACCATAGTTAACTTGCTTACCATACAGCCACAACATACAGCCCAATAAATGTGCCCGCTCGATGTTCTGCCAGACATCAGAGAGAATATAAACAAGGCCTCCATGTTTTTGCTGACATTCCATTAGAGCCGCAATGTCGTACTTCACAAGCTACTGCATAGCGACCCAGTGCTTTCCCTCCCAGTGTCTGGCGACTTGGCAGCGGGTCAACGCCAATCACCATGCTGCGTGCTAAATGCAGAAGACGGTAGGTAGATTTACGCTCATTAAACGTATCCGGAAGATTGTTGTCGGCCTGAAACTCCAAGAGAACTTGCTCAAACAGCTTGCGCTCTTCCTCTTGGGAGAAGTCAGTGTAGAAGTCATCAATGCGCATCTGTTTCCTTGTGTTCATCTGTTAAGGCCGTGTAGTATCCTCGCTGAGGTTTGTGGTGGTTCCTAGCCTGTTGGTAGTAGAACTGGTAGCGCAGGATGTGGTGGTCGTGTCGCGGGATTTAATGTGAGCCACGAAATGCTGAAAACGTTTTAGATGAGCCCGGTAGGTCTCAATCCTTCCTTTAAATTTCGTAGGTTCTTGGAGAGCGTGCGTACCGTCCGGCCTTATGGAGGCAGTGTAGCCGTTATGACAGCGTTTACAAATGTGACAGGTGCGGTTATTCCCACACTCAACTTCGGTATTGACGAATTCTGAGCGCTCA